ATTTGTGCCACACCTCCCAAAAATTAAATTGGTTCAATATTCTTTGTGCAATACTGCTCACAAAAATACCAACAAATTAAAACGAAAACAGTACCTCTTAACCTCGCCCTTTTCCATGTCTATTTTCATGCATTCCATATCCATGCAAATTTCTCCATTGTGGGACAAATAAAGGTTTTCTTATCTTTTGTAAAATTGGTTTGCATAGAGCCTTCAAAAATGATCTAAACTCAGGCAAAATAAAACAGTGGATATTTTTCAAATGCATTCATTTTGTTTATGGCATGTATCTCTATAAAGGAGTCCTTTCAAACTGAAATCCATGTTTTGTGTCATATTATAGTTTCAATTTTGACCAAATTTGAGGTTTTAAAGGGGGCTAAGACCTGCCTGTAGCTACCTACTGTGCTTAAAATAACCAGAAAATAAAGAATAATTCAGACAACGGCAAGTAATGCTCATTTGCAATAATTAAAACACAAGTGAGTTACTTTTTTAAAGGGGGGTAAGACCTGCCTGTAGCTACCTACTGTGCTTAAAATAACCAGAAAATAAAGAATAATTCAGACAACGGCAAGTAATGCTCATTTGCAATAATTAAAACACAAGTGAGTTACTCACCTCTATCTGCGTGCTTGGGTGGTATTTACCTGGAGGGTAAAAAGAAAACATGTCTTGATCAGCAGCCAATAACTGAATAACGTATCTTACATGGAAAACTCAATCCAACTTTAAACTGTATTTTAACCAATATACAGTATTATAGTTCACCCTTGTTACATAACTTAATTGGTGAAAAATTTGCCCTTTTAGCGACGGAGCCAACAACAGTGTGTGATCCAGTATTTGTGTACTTTTTGTTACATCATAATTATTTCACTTCATTTTGACAGATATGCTCTGTGTATGTTTAGAAAAGTGTATGTGTTGTTGTGATTTTTACTAGACAGACAAATGAGAAAGCACTCAGTGGTGATCGCGTGAGTGAGGCAATCAAAAACTTTTAAAAATGATTAAAAGATATTCATAGCAAATTCATCCTTTAAATGAGTGTCCACTTAAAGGGGAAGTCAACCCCCAAAATTTCTTGACAAGAATAAGTTCTAGAGTTGCTGATGGTGTAATGGTACACTCGCCTGACTTGTGTGTGGGCAGTGTGAGATCGATTCCCACTCAGTAACAGTGTAAATGTTTGTGTGAGTGGTTGTTCGTCTCGATATGTGCCCTACAACTGACTGGCGAACTGTTGAGGGAGTAGTCCGCCTGAAGTTAATCGGGATAGTTTCCAGCGACCCTGTTCAGGATAAGCAGTGTTGAAAATGGATGGAGTATGTTCTATGGAGCACCACTAGTCTAAACGCGGCACTCTGATTAATATTGCGTATGTGGAATATTAGTTTCGCAGTAAAATCAGTTTTTGCCATTTTGCCCCTTGCTGTTGACTGAAAATAACATCACGGTTGCTCGGGGCTCAGGAAACGATCAATCATGGCTCAGCTTCAGAAAACGGGTGCACAACTATCAGGGGGCAGCCACAAAGTGACATGGGGTGGCCTTGGCCAGCCCTGGCCACCTTGTAGCCCAGCCCCTCCATGATAAATTATCCAATGTCAATTTATTTGGATGAAAAATGATGTTCTCTCGATGAATAATGTTTTCATTGATCCATGCCAACCACGTATAGTAATAGGTAGAACAATGCAATGCTCTTCCATTTGATGAAAGAAGGTAATTAATCTTATTTGTAATCGTTTTGCTTAGTGGTGCTGTGATTTTTTTTTTCCAATATGAAGTACGCACCTTGGTTTAATAGGTTGGGAAACACTGCTTTAGGTACATGATGTATGTGAATTCCCCGTAAGTGTGTCTGTGTGTGCATCTGTGTGTTTAGTTTCAGTGAATGCAGAAAATGTGTATAAATAGCCAATAAGTCAGTCATCTACAGGCCCTGTACATGCAGTTTGTGACAATAGGTGAAAAGACTAAATGTCAGATTTACAGTTCGACATGACGATGTAAGGTGTCTAATCTGTTTTTGCACTTTTTGTGACATTTTGATGATATGCCATGAAGTAGTATAATATGTGTGTCTTAAAACAGCTAATTAATTACAGACTGAACAGCAGGGGCTTCGTTGTGACTGCTCATTATCCGAATCTCACCCTGAGAGAGGTACTTGGGTGAGGGTGTGAAACGTGTTCTCCTTGAAAGCACTTTGCCCAGAATCTGATCAGTTCCCAGACATCCAGCCTAATCACATGCTTTCCCCAGTCAAAAGCCTCTTGAGCAATGAACATTGTGATCTGATACGAAGCGGCACAACAGGCTGAGAGGATCAGAAATCCTCATGATCCTTCACACGTGATATTAGCGCAAAAGAAAATGTGGAGAAAGTCACTGTGGTAATTCAAAGAACACTTGGTAGTCATTTAAAAAGAGACAACCACGGGATTGAGGGTGTGGAGGGGGCGACGGGTTGCGCGCTCCTTTGTCAATGGTCATGCTGATATAAGCATGACACTTCAAGTTAATTGTATGGCTGTATTAACGCTGACAAGTTAAATACGTGCTACTTATGCCAGTGCAATTGGGGTATCAATTACGATATGGCTAAATTGTATTTTTTCCGGTGATTTAACTACACCCCTAGTATAGCTATAGTATTGACCCGAGCTGCACGCCGACTGAGTTAAAATCAAATGTGTACCTTCACAGCTTTGTTTGTGCAATCTGACCGATCCGTCCTTTCCAATCTGAACATCTCCGGGTCCTGATATCCTCCCCGTAGCCGCCGCCTCGGAGCATCTCCTCCTCCGCTGTTCCTTCAACAGCGTCACACAGCACTGGTAACATACGGCCCAAGCCTGCTCTTCGTTGATGGGCTGGCTGTAAAGCCCGAGTATCTCCTCTAAAGAAAGCTCATCCGACCGCGGGTCCTCCGTGGAAGTCATTGCGGCGTGGTGTTGAGGCCCATCGAGCTGCCTCGCAGCATCCGTCAGTCCTCCACGCAGCCCGCCCCCATGCTCGGCCATCCTTTCATTCTCTCAGCGATGGATGGAGGAGGCCCGGTAGCGAGATGAGGCCAGGCCGATGGGCGAGAGTTAACCTGGAGGAGGCATTGATGCTTACTCACATCCTCCTTGTGGATCACCGGCAGCAGTCTGGACGCGCTGAGTAGCTTTTCTCTATTTGATCGCTCAAGGTTCTGATGCAGAGTCACAAGACGGCGTGCGGCTGAAACCACCCACCTCACTTTGCTCTCAGTGTGCAACTATACATGTGTGTTGTTACTTAAATCACTGCCTGGAAAGCTCAGTTCCTTATCACGTGACCTCCCTCTCCCAGCCTTGCTTTTTTGTTTTTTCTTACATTGTCAAACATAGTCAGCAAAACACTCACATTCAAAGTGCTGTAGTGTATTGTTGCCTACCCCATTATTAAGCCAAGGCACACATTTTACGGCACACAAAAAAAACCCAAAAAGGTAAAAGAAAAAAAATATATATGTAAGTGTATGTACAATACTGAAATAAGGATGAGCATGTCTCAATTTACTGTATGTATTGTATGTATGTAATGTATTTAATCGGTGTAAAATGTTATCTTATTTAGTTCAACATAAAGTTATTCTTCGAAATGGCAACAGGTTAACTGTATCTTCTGCGAGGTATTGGAAGAGCATTTTATTGTTTTGCCTGTTACTATACATTTTTGGCATAGATAGATAAATAAAGACACATTTAATCTATTTTCTATATCACTTAAACTTACCAGAGTCATGGTGTGAGATGGAGCCTATCCCAGCTCATTTAAGGCTGGGCACACCCTGGACAGGTCGCCGGCCAATCACAGGACACATGAGAAAACCAACCATTCACACTTAAACTCACACTTGTGGACAATTTAGTTTGAGAGAAAACAAATACAGGTTCACACGTTTTGAGTAGAAGCATGGAGAAAACCCACGACAGTCGAGAAGGCAATTAAAACGCCGTAACCTTGATTTAAACCTCAAAACTGAGGCAGATATCACAAAGCATAAGATAAGAAAACCTTTATTAGTTTCACAAGGGAGAAATTCCAATTCACAGCAGCAAAGTTATGAAAGGAAGTAGAAGAACAAAATATAGGAGCTGCTGTATAGGCAGCCACTCTGGCACATGGCACAATGTCTCATTTAAAACTTGACTCAAATGTGACATTATAGCATTCATGTATCACTTTGTTTGTTTGTTTTTCCTTCTGTATATTTTTCTGTCTTGTTTATTTTTTGTTTGTTTCTCTCCCCTGTAAATTTAGTTCTTTCCGATTGCAATTTTCACAAATTCAAAATGCAAACAGCAATGGTTGCAGTACATCAAATTCTATTGTTACACAGAAAACCTGATCTGGAATAAAGGGGACACAGATCCTCCATTCCACATGATCTAGCAGCCAAACAGGACATCTTAAAAATAAATAAAATAAAATTTGAGTCGGATTCGCTAACCATTCATCCACCATGCACCTCAAAGATGCATTTGTAGTCAGTCATGATGGACTGAATGAAGTGAACTTGGATTATTTTTCCGGAGAACATAAGTTTATTTTAAATAAATTTGTAGACATTTTTTAAAATCATATTGTTATTATGGATTGTTGTGTGGAGAAATTTGAGGGGAAAGATTCCTTTATTTCATTTTGGGATGAGGCCGTACCATGGTAAAATGTGGAAATACTGACGCTGTGAATCATCAGTCACCAACTCAGGCACATTAGACTTATAGCCTATTGAGTACAATGGCAAGGTTGAGTGTGCATGCTTTTCCAAAAAATGACATGCTTTTGAAATGAGGTGGAAAATGTTTAAAATGTCAATAAAAGCAGAGTGCATTTCTAATAATATCTGTCATCTTGGGCTTTTCTGTGTTGACTTGACACTTTTTTTGAACAGTTAGTGTTGAAATAGTCTGCTATGCAAACAGTGCCCACAAGCCTAAACAGAAGACAATGTCATGAACAATATGTATTTTTTGTTTTTTATTGTACTTCACACAATTTATAAGGGACGGTTGTCAATCACTTTCAACAATAACGTTTAGAGATACTTCTCTTTTAAGTATTCTACACAACACTTGTGTTTTTAACACACACAATCACACACCCACCTTTATTTATGTCAACACAAAGCATTAAACATCAACATAGAAGATGCAGTTAGCAATACTCACAAGGACGTGTGGAATAGAAATGTAACAATGAATGTCCACCATGATTTTCACAAGGTGTGGCTTCAAAACAAATGTAAACAAGTCTTTAAAAGTTCCTTTTTAAAAGTGATAGAAGCTTGTCTATGTGTATTTTTACCCATAAGGAATGAGCATGTAGCACTGACATTCAAGTGTGACACCCAGAAGATGGGAGCAAGTGAGAAGAAATTTGTTCCTGATCACCTTGAAAATAGAGTGGGGCCAAGTCTTACAGTTTGAACTCCAGAAGGTTGCAATCAATCTTGTAATAAACGTAGGGATAATATTCTTGCTGGCTCAGATTCAAACCTGGAATATCCATGGCCGACTAGGGGGAGAAAAAAAAGTACAATTTCACAAAAATAGCAATTTGACAAGTCGGAGGGTGGAAGATGCACCCTAAAGCAATCAATGTAGTTTTTGGTGGATTTTTAATATTGCTCTTCCTATGCAAAGTTCTCAGCAGAGTTTGGCTATGTCTGATTACACATCTAGAATATCCAAACGATCCTAGATGACTGGATAACTGAAGATGCTCCTAACCTTTGCATGTAGTTTTAGAGTCAGTGTTGCATCTATGCGCTTGCTTTTCTTGATATAGTGAGGTAGGAATGAGCAATAAAAACCCAAAGATGAATGTCCAGAGCACTTACATCTAAGATTGCTGCTGCACTGCTGTCCAGATGTTTGTAGAGTTCATTGAGCACCTCCCTCAGCTTCTTTGTAGTCTTCCTGTTTGGCTGAAGTAGCATGGCTTGGAAGTTCACTGGAAGCCCGTACCTGAAAGGACACCACATTTCCAACAATTATGTCACAATACGACATTAAAACACATCAGTGCAAAGTGTTTCACTTTGCAGTGAATGTGATGCAAATGCTACCAAGACACTGCAGTCCAGTTTTGTTTGGCATAGTACCTCAGAACAGATTCCACAAAGACCCTCAGTGCTTTGATGTGGATCCAAGCAATGAAGGCTTCACTGAAGTTCACTTTCAGCCATCGAACAAGTGGTCCCTGCACCGTTAAGTACATTTCAGGTACAGAAAGACTACTGCGAATTGTATGTGGAAGTGTTATATGTGGCCAATACCACAAAATGTCCACCTTCCTGTCAAGGAAGGAAACCCCACATTTTAATGTTAATGTCGTTACAGGACCTTTTTCGACTAATATCCAGCACAACACTGTGTGTTTTTTCTTACCTGGTCAAACATTTTCCAACACAAAAACTACTATCATTAAACATTACTGTTATCGCCAAGTAGCTAAACTTACCGGTATAATCATAGCTTTTTGTTTGCACTTACAAATTGCTTCTTTTTATCTGTAGATAGTCGTGTCATCTCCTCTTTATCTGCCTTCATCTCCTCTTCATTGTACTGAAAGTCTCTCACAGAGAACCTGCAGGACGTTAAGGTTGGATGAATGTACCGTATTTAGATTTGTCATTAAGTGAAAGTCTAGGTCTCTAAAACGCTTCACAACAACATCATAACGCTTTTGCTGAAATTCTTCACTGACATTTCCATTACCCTTGACCTGGTTCTCCATATTAACTACTCAGGACTGTTCGCTGTGAGTAATCTCAACATGGTTGAACGCCTTACTTGTTTTCTCTGGCTTTGTGTTTGAAGTCGTCAATGGCTTTCCGAAACAGAGTCACACTGAACAATCCACTGTCGTTGTCCTCAAACAAAAGACTGGAAGAAAACAGAGTGTTATGATGCTATAAAGAAATGTGTGCTGTATCTATAAATTGTGAAATTATATACTGTACTACACATCGAAGAACCCCAAAGGAATTGAAATAATACACACTCTGCAAAGTTGTGCCTTTCTCAAACCATATGCGACTGCTTACTTTGAGGATCGTGGAACCACCATCTCAGCAAGTGTTTCATAGGTTTTCTGCCAGTCAGCATAAGATGTTCTGCAAGTGCAACCAAGCAGGTCATTTCCCCCCATATTTTACAGGTCTTGCGACTGATCAAATATTCATACTCACTTTGGAACAACAGCCAGCAAGGTGATGAGATACTCAGAGTCAAGAACAAAGTCTTCCTTCTTGACAATGTCAGCCAGGCTCCTCGTAAGCAAGCTCCCTCTACCGGCAGACAATAGTATTACAAAACCACAGCTTTCACCCAGTGAGGGAGATCAATGTTGACAAAGCATTTCAGAGTTGTGCTGACTTTTAAGACCACACTGACTTGGCCACGCAAAGCCATTGATTTCTGAAGCTTGACTGATGAATAAGCATTTGTCAAGCACAAAATGACACCACACTGATGCTTCCTTGTCACCCATAAAGGGAATGGATATTCTAACGTAAAATGTCAAGGGGTGGGATATTCAATTGAGTAAGCTACAGTGTAATACATCAGGTCTGCTTGAGGACTTTAAAGCTAAAAATTTTTGCTCAATTCCCTTAAACAAACAAGTATTAAGGTTGAAAGTATTTCAATAATCACTGACACTAGCCAGAACTAGCAGAATATACTGAATATACCTCTACTTGTTCGCACATTTGCAATTAAACTGTATCTATCCCAGCATGATTAATTGCAGGTTGTGGAAGGCTAACTAACGCATTTTTCCTTTCAAGGTTCTGTAGGTTTCCTTTCAGGTTGTTATAAGCTGATGCTCGGGTCTTCAAGTCATTGTCAATCTGGGTGATTTGCTGTAAAATAAGAATCACAAACAAACAAAAAAAAATTACACACCCTATTTGAGAACAGACCTCAATGCAGCACACTGGTGCAGGTTATGCCACCATGAACTGACTAAAGTAACAAAAGTACCACAAAACAAAAGGCTCTGAAATTAAAAAAAAACAAAAAAATAAAAATCTGTTGCATATTTGTATTGGTAATCACATGTCATATTTCAGTGCAAGTGTCATACCTTTGAGATGATTTCAGAGATGTTTTTAAGTGATTGCTTGATGGGGTACTTGGCCATGTCCCATTGAAACCTTGTGATGTAGGTGACAAGATCAACTATGGAAAAAAAAAAAATTACAGAATGAAAAAGACTTCAGGTAGAATATGAGTCAAATGAGAGTACAATAGGCAGCCTAAACATTTGTCAGTATGATGTAGAACAATCAAGCATGTGACAATCATGTTTATTTATTTATTTATTTTTAGGTCTGAATTATAATGATTGGTGTACCTCCATTGGCCAGCAGGTTCTCCTGCACTTTGTCTCGACTGTCTTCCAACACGTCTGCCATGTACTGGGCCACCTTCTTCACAACACTGTGAACAGTTGAGAGTCATCAAAACATGTCGTGCCACAGGGCTGCATGCTATTGGAAAAATATGCGATATGGGTGATGACTATAGTAATATCTACGGTATATTCTCTTGATAAGAAAATAACACTTCTATTATCTCATGAAAGAAATTATTTTTTCTCATGCAGCAAAATACGATAGCTCAACATATTCTTACATTAATTGTAATGCCCCTTGATACTGTTCACCTATTGGATGACGATGTTTGTTTAAGGTTGCATCTGACTGACCAAAGTCGGATAAAAGCTTCTAATTCAATATGACATTTATTGGATGTCTTTGACATATGCAGATTGCATGGGCCAATAATGCCATGACAATATTATTTCGATATCATGTGCAGCCCAATTGTGCTAATACTAATTGCATACATAAAGCCAATGTAAACCCCTGAAATCATTCTGCAAACAAAACCACCACATCATCCTAAAAATCTAACACAAACATACAAAAGCACATCAAAAGGTTACATATAATCCTGTTGAGATAGAGACATGACAAAATTGGCAGCCATTCATAGTTAAAGATTTTTCGCCACACGGTTCAGGAAGCCAAGAACAAAAATTCAAATGAAATCACATCGCCACATTTATGTTTACTATCCAATTCCGTGTCCATCTTGTTCTGGTTGTGACAATAATAATAGCAGAGTTCATTTTTCCAAAGACCATTGGGGAACTTCAAAAAGGAACTGGATTAAAGGCAGGCTAAAGTCAAACCAAGATGTTAGTTTTCCCTTCCACATTCATGACAATATCCGCAGAGGAAGCACAGTGAAGCTAAAACGGTAAACGCTGCGTGGAAGATTTTGATGCCAAATTTTACACAGAACTACAGAGGACCTTCAAACATACTAAAAAAAGTTAAGCCCCTTGCTATAAATATGACAAATGAAAGAGCTGCTGGTGTGCCACTAAACTGCAAATTGCCAGGTTTGGACAGCTGGTCTTGCTAGCCTCGGCATCGTGTGAAATTCCTCATTGCTACAAGAGAGGAGAAGGGATTAAACCAGTCCTATCAGGAACCTGGGAATGTTTGCATATAATCAGAGAACTTCCATGGACTGTGTGCATCAACATCAATAACGCATATAGCACTACATACAGTAGACAGATTGTAAACCGAAACTGCAAATTTAACTTACCTTTCAACAAAGGAATCCAATTTGGCCAATTCATCAGACAACCCAACTAAGACATCGAGCGTCCCCACCTAATTATGGACACGCAAGCAAAGAACAAAAATGCATTATTAATTAGAATGAGAATCGGTTCCGTTTGAGGAGAAGGTTAGGCAGGCTGTGTTTAAACAGTGAATTCTGTGATCCAGTCAGCCTACAGTGACAACTAGGGGGCCTTGTGTACTTAGGATGGCGCCTTGTTGTCCAGAGCCACTCGTGCATCACTAAAAGTTCCAGGAGCGCATTGCAGCGCCGTGTGGCATCAAGGTCAATGGGGTTACTTACCTTAAGCACAGACAGAACCAAACCAGACGAGCTGAGCTGCTCTGGATGAAAACTTCACCAAATCAACACTTCATCATGCAAACAAAAGATCGGTTTAAAGGCTGCTTCCCTTACACAGAAGTGGCTTACTCTTGACAGTGGATTCATTAGGTGAGTGTATTTTGGGGTTATTTATTCTTAAATGAAAACAATATACATTTAAAACAATGTTTTGTTAAGACGGAAGTATTTAGGCATTGTGCTCATGTCACAAAAAACAGTGCATATAAAATACAGACTTTAATTTGGTTCAATAAAAGAATACAATACACAGTTGCAGTTGTAAGAATAAATTACCAATTTGAGACTAAACCATTAATTACTTTAAATGCAAATCTGTTAAAAGGACTATTAGGTCTCATCCAAAATCAAATACAATTTGTTTTATCTATTCTGATGGTATATCAGATTTACTTGATCTTAAATTTTAGAAGTTACATTCGATATCAGATTTTTGCGTTAACATAAAATAACAATCTCAGAAATTTTGATGACTACTTGAAAATAAATGGACAAATTTAACTTTGTGATGATTTCAGAGATGTGTTTAAGTGATTAAGTCACGGGGAGCCAAGGTTTCTTTTCAAATTAAAATGCAGTACTGTACTGAAATACAGCACTGAAATCCAAGACGAGCTGTATCAAGACTTCTGCAACAACAAAAATGACATGTCTCAGTTTAAATTAAATTCTGTCAGTCCCAATAATATTTGTGTTTTACAATATTTCATGCGATATAACTCTTCGTGTGGCAGTCACTATAAGCATGTACCTAATGTTTTGGCCAGACAGTGTATCTGCTGTGTCTATTCACCCCTTATCATTGCAAATCAATCAATTCAAAGATGTCGACCAAATAAAAATAAAAAAATCCAGTGAGTCAGATAAATCTATACAAACCTTCAGGTCGGGGATGCTGAACTTGTGGTTGCTTGAAAGGTTGTTATTACGTGTGGTGGCCGTCATCATTTTGTCCCACGTTTGCTGGCATGTCTTCTCTCCCGGAGCAGAGATTAACCAAAACTCAGTCATTATCCTGGCAGCCAGAGAAATCTTGAGAGACAAGATGTATTTAAGATTTTCAGAGCAGTATTAAGTTTGGGAGAAATTTCCAATTTCCAGCATTTTTGTTGTACTGTGTCTCAAAAACAACTCCCGCTCTAATGGACCGCAATATAGTGTAAATATAAAACTAACAACCGGCAACACTAATAATAAAAGGTGGTAATGGTAGAATAAATTTGAGAGGGATTAGCCACCGGTAGATTTATTAGCTTTCTGGGGTTAATGGTGGAAGAGGTCTTGGTTAGTACGGGTAGACAAAAATATTTGAAGTCCTCTACTCACCCGTATATTTAAATGGAGTCGTTAAGAGACAAATGCAACCTTTTGTGTCGTATTTTCGAATGTTAATTTAGCTATCATTGCTGCTTGCCATTGAACCACTGTTGGTGTGGTTTCTTGACAGTGGCATCAGTCAGCTGACCAGCCACAGGAAGCGGAAGTTCTCGCCAACACTGAAACAAAACTCAGAAGCGCCAGTCGCTGGTTGGTTACGGTTACTGCAGAAGTCCAATTGCAAAATGTGAACAGAAATCATTGGGGTTCTTTCACCTTTGTAGACTACGTGTTAAGCAGAGTAAAAATATACCGGTGAATAAATTATTTTGCATTAGAATACAATAAATCCCCCGTGCAAATAGGGGATTTATTTAAGAGATCCAAAGTCTACAGTACAACCTCTTGGTATAATTACTTGCATGCATGTTGACGTACCCTTTTCAGCTTTTGTTTAATTTGAAGTAGAAGTTATTAAGTAGTGAAGGAAAAATGAGGGGTGGCTGGGAAGGGGCAATAATAAAAATAAGATACCAATTTTAAAGCTGTGGGAATTACTTTTTCAATTAGATGTAAAATAAATTCCTTATAATACAAAAAAACAATGAGGCCTCCACCCCAGATTTCAGGGCTAGTCAACATTCCAAGTGCATTAATAATGTATCAGAAGTACACAAATGCTCTTGGATGCCAAGTCAGCAGCATTTGAGTTTTTAGAGACACTAAATTTAGAAAAGTGGCCTCAGGTTTCCTGACTTTGGGTGTCTCCAGAACAGATTCTAAGGAAAACGCCCCCAAAGGGACATGTTTATAGTTCAGTGGGTCTGGGGTTCATTGTTTGGGACACAATGCTTCGTCTGACTGGAGCCAACCCTTGACATCAAACAGCAGGGTGACTTTGCCCATGGCTGGCTAAGTTCCAGTCTGCTGGGATGTTATCAGGACTCACACAATCTCAAAAGCTGTAGCAGAAATGCTGGTTTCTGCTGAAAGTATTGTCTGAATCTTCTCAGTCAAAAACATATACAACTGTTGTTTGAGCAATACATAATGGATGAATTATGCGAGTCTAGTGTTTGTGCATGCAACTTATTACCACCCCTTAACCAATACTCATCAGTTCACAGGAAAAAAAAATCTCTAGAGAAAAATTACTTTGCTCAAAAAATGTTATTTAATTTTGAGTATAGAAACACTATCAAATTCCTGAGTCATGGTTAGTTGCTATGACGCTCAATCTTCCCCAACTTCTTTTCATGATTGCTTATTATACTGCAGTTGAGAAGCAATCTGTATTCAATTGATTTGTGTTGTGAATCAATAGTAGAAATCTAAATGCATCGTCAACACCATCTAACTGTGCATCATGAGTTGGTGATTGTAAAGTGACACTGCCTGATAATTGCCAAGTAGTACACTGCTCAATTTAAATCAATAATAAAGTTTATTATCATTATTATTATTATTATTATTATTATTATTATTATTATTATTATTATTGATAAATAATTACTCCCATATCTCGTGTGCAATCTGTGCATACAGCAAATACTGACTCAAATTTTATACTTGAATATAGTGAAATGTGAGATTTTTCTCATGCACATCCCTTTGAACTGCTTGTTCCAGATGTGTACACACACGAAACCTAACAGTGCAGGCTCAGTAAAATCCATGCATTCTATCTGTAAGAATATCCATGTCCATGCACTCCATGTTCCTTAAATGCTAACAGTAAAACAATTGTTCCTGACTGTCAAATATAATTTTCTTATAAACAGCATAAACATGCAACATTTGCCTGTAGATAAACTGTCAATGTTATCTAATGCTGAGTTTTGACGTATAAAAATAGTCAAGTCACTGTCATTATCTTAACACCGGGGAAATAAGGGTGAACCATTCTCATTATTTAGATCATGCTATTGTTGAGCCGTCAGTCCTTGTATATCTTGCCACAATTTTGATACAATTGTTAAAAAATGTCATCTATGGGAACAGCCCACAGATAAAGAAAGTTAGATGGCTTTATGCGGAAATAAAAAAACTGCTGCAGGCACAATAGCAAACAAGTGGTTCTGCCTCACAGTGGAGCATTTTTGTGTGGAGTTAGCGTACTCTCCCCATGGGCTTTATCTGAGTCTGAGTATTCTGGCTTCCTCTGACGTTCCAAAAACAAGACTCTTGAGTACCCAGAGAACACCTACGCAGGCATGGGGAGAACATACACTCTCCAAACAGGAAGGCGGCAGCCTGGAATCTATCCCACAACCTATGCACTGTGAGGCGAACATGCAAACTAGTCTACCACCGTGCTGCCAGATTTCATCCCAAATTTTTAAAAATGTGAATGTTTATTCTATCTGTCCAATTAGTTTGTAAGCCACTTAAACAATAAAAAAGTCTATCAACATTCATGTCAAACTGAGGCAAGGCACTTGGATAGACCTTGGAATATTTGTCATGAATATGCAGTGAGTGTCCTTACAGAGTCCTACTTAATATTCTGACGAGTCAGAGGAATCTTTGTTTGGGTTTCTTTTACTTAGCCACACTTCTGCTAAGTGACTTTAGGACACTATTTTCGGTTACGTAAGACCCCACAATATAACAGTTTTAGCTTGTTGGTCACATCCAAACCCTGAATTAATCAAGATAATTTTAGTCATAAATTGGAATGTTATGCTAACTCATTTTAGAGATTTCGTAACTGAATCATTGATTTTCAATTGTCTTTAAGTCATTCCAGCTTGTCTATCCAGGGGTGAGGTAATCTATTTGGAAAACAGTGTCTGCAATTCCTGAATTCCTGCTGCACAGTGCAGCCACTGAGTTTTTTTCCCCCCCAGTGGGTGGTACACATGACTTGCATACCCAGGGGCTGGGACGGCTATTATGATCCAAACAATGGAAATTAAACATTGTGGGTTACTGGAAGCAGCTTTAGATGCAATGTGTGATTGGGCTTACATATAGAGTCGTATTTAGTGTCAGAGAAACACAAAACACGAAACAGCTTTTGTACTGCAGTCCAAGACTTCAACTTTAAAAAGAATCCTGGAAAAGCTTTTTCTCATGTGACAAATATTTTGTTTCCAAAATAAGAAGGAATTCAAATCTTTAAATTTGCTAATGGACAACATTATACCAAGTGAATATGAACACTGCATTAACATACATCCATTCATTCATTTTTCGAACCGCTTGATCCTCACTAGGCTCGCGGGGGGTGCTGGAGCATATCCCAGCTGTCTTCGGGCAGTAGGCGGGGGACACCCTGAACCGGTTGCCAGCCAATCGCTGGGCACACAGAAACAAACAACCATTCGCACCAACATTCACACCTAGGGACAATTTTGAGTGTTCAATCAGCCCGCCATGCATGTTTTTGAAATGTGGGAGGAAACCAGAGGACCCGGAGAAAACCCACGCAAGCCTGGGGAGAACATGTAACCTCCACACAGGGAGGCCGGAGCTGGAATTGAACCCGGTATCTCTGCACTGTGAAGTCAACGTGCTAACTACTCGACTACCGGGCCGCCCTAACACACATCAATGATGTTTTTATTACTTGAAAAGACTGTGCTATAGTTGTCTCACAGTGAAATTTCATGAAATCTGAAATTGAAGTGTTACACTTGTAATTGTGAGTGTGTTGTGTGTGTGTAGGGGGTGGGGGGTGATGTTGTAGTGGTAGAGCATGTAGTCAGACAGATAAATAGGCAATAAGTCAGTCATCTAAAGGCCCCTCACATGCAGTTTGTGAGTGTAAGTGATTTCACTATACCATTACATGTCAGACTTTCAATTTGACCTGATCATGTAACATGCCTTAAATACTGAATTTCAAAATTCCTATGACTCACATCTCTGACTGTGTTCCTATGACTGTATATCTCATAAGCTATGAGATATACAGTTTTAGATTGAAAATGTGTAAAAAGTACTCTTTAAATTTTGAAGACACTTTGCGAATAGGCATGGATGTAAAACAGCCCAAGATATTTCTGTCATGATCAGCAAGTAGTTAAGCTTTCCTCTGCATCCTCCTCTTGAGGAGGGACATATGCAAATACAAAATGCTGCCCCTTCAAAAAACACACAGCCTCAGACCGTTGCATATTCAGAGATCAGGAACTTAACTGAGATACAACAAATGAAGAAAAGTAATTAGAAAAAACATGCATAGGTCCATGTGCTCTGTACTTGGTGGATTTGTCTCTTAAAACGCTCCATTTTGATTCCTCCCATAAAGTCCATCATCTACAAACTTCTCTTGGATAGGATTTTATCTTCATCTATAAGGCATGGCAACGACAATGAAGACTTAACTCAGGTAATTAGAAATGTTTACAAGGTGAATTTGCAATTTTTCAAGATGGTAATTATTTTGAATTGCTTTGATAGTTCTTTGATAGTTCTTAGCTCTTGACACACACACACACACACACACACACACACACACACACACACACACGCGCGCGAGAACAACAAGAGAGTTTATTATACATACTAAAAAAAAATA